TTCAGCATATATATATATATATATGTGCATATCTACATGGTGCGCTTGAGATATGATTGCACACACCTATGGGTATACATATGTGCGTAATTATATTTGTTTGTATATACGCATATACATACATATTCACATACACGCATGTAAATATACACATACACACATATATGTATATATATATACATACATACATATACGTATACACATATATGTGTATAATATGTACATATATGTGTATAACTATATGCATGCATACGTAAAGCATGCATTATATGTTTCACAAAACATTGTTTTTTGATAAAAAAAACATGTTTTTTGATCCAAACCATGTTTTGTTATCCAACGTGCTTGGATCGAAAAACGCGATCCGAGCAACCCCAGCGTGGGAACTCGAAGACCACGAAGTGGCCTACAGTTGGCTCCAGACATTCACAATGTGGCCCGGGAATGGAGTTCTGGGAACTCGAAGACCAAGAAGTGGCCTCCAATTGGCCCCGGGCATTCAAAATGTGGCCCGGGAATGGAGTTCTGGGAAGTCCAAGAGCACGAAGTGGCCTACAGTTGGCTCCAGGCATCCACAATGTGGCCCGGGAATGGAGTTCTGGGAAGTCGAAGAGCACGAAGTGGCCTACAGTTGGTTCCGGGCATCCAAGATGAGGCCCGGGAATGGAGTTCTGGGAAGACGAAGAGCACGAAGTGGCCTACAGTTGGCTCCGGGCATTCAAAATGTGGCCCGGGAATAAAGTTCTGGGAGGTCGAAGAGCACGAAGTGTGTCACTGTTTGCTTAAAACGAGCCCGGTTCTCGCCTGTCCGGCTCCCGCCCAGACCCCCCTGGGGAGTCATCAGATGCTCTCTTCTGGCCCCATTAGAAACCTATCAGTCTACGCTGTTGGGTAATATTCACCGATCGAGCTGAGAATAAGATGGCGAGTCGGAATAAGATCCAAGATTGCCGCAAAAAATAGTATCCCGGCAAAGCAACCTAACAGCGATGTGTAGGAGCATATCTGGAAGCATTCCCCTGAAGATTCACATGAGAATCCTGTTGTAGAATTCTGCTGTTCTCGCAGTCGTAGTCGCATTCGCGATGGCAGTCGCAGTGGCAACGGCAGTCGCAGTCACAGCCTCAGCCTGCCTCAGCCTCAGCCTCAGCCTGCCTCAGCCTCAGCCTGCCTCAGCCTCAGCCTCAGCCTGCTTCAGCCTCAGCCTCAGTCTGCCTTCAGCCTCGGCCTCAGCCTCAGCCTGCCTCAGCCTCAGCCTGCATCAGCCTCAGCCTCAGCCTCAGCCTGCCTCAGCATCAGCCTGCCTCAGCCTCAGCCTCAGCCTGCCTCTGCCTCAGCCTCAGCCTGCTTCAGCCTCAGCCTCAGTCGCCTTCAGCCTCGGCCTCAGCCTCAGCCTGCCTCAGCCTCAGCCTGCATCAGCCTCAGCCTCAGCCTCAGCCTCAGCCTCAGCCTCAGCCTGCCTCAGCCTCAGCCTCAGCCTCAGCCTGCCTCAGCCTCAGCCTCAGCCTGCTTCACCTCAGCCTCAGTCTGCCTCAGCCTCGGCCTCAGCCTCAGCCTGCCTCAGCCTCAGCCTGCCTCAGCCTCAGCCTCAGCCTCAGCCTGCCTCAGCCTCAGCCTGCCTCAGCCTCAGCCTCAGCCTGCCTCAGCCTCAGCCTCAGCCTGCTTCAGCCTCAGCCTCAGTCTGCCTTCAGCCTCGGCCTCAGCCTCAGCCTGCCTCAGCCTCAGCCTGCATCAGCCTCAGCCTCAGCCTCAGCCTGCCTCAGCATCAGCCTGCCTCAGCCTCAGCCTCAGCCTGCCTCAGCCTCAGCCTCAGCCTGCTTCAGCCTCAGCCTCAGTCTGCCTTCAGCCTCGGCCTCAGCCTCAGCCTGCCTCAGCCTCAGCCTGCATCAGCCTCAGCCTCAGCCTCAGCCTGCCTCAGCATCAGCCTGCCTCAGCCTCAGCCTCAGCCTGCCTCAGCCTCAGCCTCAGCCTGCTTCAGCCTCAGCCTCAGTCTGCCTTCAGCCTCGGCCTCAGCCTCAGCCTGCCTCAGCCTCAGCCTGCATCAGCCTCAGCCTCAGCCTCAGCCTGCCTCAGCATCAGCCTGCCTCAGCCTCAGCCTCAGCCTGCCTCAGCCTCAGCCTCAGCCTGCTTCAGCCTCAGCCTCAGTCTGCCTTCAGCCTCGGCCTCAGCCTCAGCCTGCCTCAGCCTCAGCCTGCATCAGCCTCAGCCTCAGCCTCAGCCTGCCTCAGCATCAGCCTGCCTCAGCCTCAGCCTCAGCCTCAGCCTGCCTCAGCCTCAGCCTCAGCCTGCTTCAGCCTCAGCCTCAGTCTGCCTCAGCCTCGGCCTCAGCCTCAGCCTGCCTCAGCCTCAGCCTGCATCAGCCTCAGCCTCAGCCTCAGCCTGCCTCAGCATCAGCCTGCCTCAGCCTCAGCCTCAGCCTGCCTCAGCCTCAGCCTCAGCCTGCTTCAGCCTCAGCCTCAGTCTGCCTTCAGCCTCGGCCTCAGCCTCAGCCTGCCTCAGCCTCAGCCTGCATCAGCCTCAGCCTCAGCCTCAGCCTGCCTCAGCATCAGCCTGCCTCAGCCTCAGCCTCAGCCTGCCTCAGCCTCAGCCTCAGCCTGCTTCAGCCTCAGCCTCAGTCTGCCTTCAGCCTCGGCCTCATCCTCAGCGTGCCTCAGCCTCAGCCTGCATCAGCCTCAGCCTCAGCCTCAGCCTGCCTTAGCCTCAGCCTGCCTCAGCCTCAGCCTCAGCCTGCCTCAGCCTCAGCCTCAGCCTGCTTCAGCCTCAGCCTCAGTCTGCCTGCAGCCTCGGCCTCAGCCTCGGCCTCAGCCTCAGCCTGCCTCAGCCTCAGCCTGCCCACGCCTCAGCATCAGCCTGCCTCAGGATTCAAAATGTGGCCCGGGAGTGGAGATTTGGGAACTCGAAAGCCCCGATGTGGCCTACAGTTGGCTCCGGGCATTCAAAATCATGCCCAGGAATGAAGTTCTGGGAACTCGAAGACCACGAAGTGGCCTACAGTTGGCTCCGGCATTCAAAATGTGGCCCGGGAATGGAGTTCTGGGAACTCGAAGACCACGAAGTGGTCTACAGTTGGCTCCGGGCATTCAAAATGTGGCCCGGGAATGGAGTTCTGGGAACTCGAAGACCACGAAGTGGCCTACAGTTGGCTCCGGGCATTCAGAATGTGTCCCGGGAATGGAGTTCTGGGAAGTCGAAGAGCACGAAGTGGCCTACAGTTGGCTCCGGGCATTCAAAATGTGGCCCGGGAATGGAGTTTTGGGAGGTCGCAGAGCCTCACGAGAACCTTGCGGAACCCAGCCACCGAGTCGAGTGGGAACCACACAGAACCCCTGGGGGAACCCAAAAATTCAAAGAAAAACTTAATTTTCAAATTCGACCACATTTCCCCCTTCTATACATCGACAAAAGAGGCCCCCAAGAGAACCCTGCAGAACCCAGCCACTGAGTTGACTGAGAACCACAAAGATCCCCTGGGAGAACCGAGAAATTCAAAGAAAAACATAATTTTCAAATTCGACAGCCTTTCCCCCTTTCTATACATATAAAAGAGAACCCCCAAGAGAACCCTGCAGAACCCAGCCACTGAGTGCACTGAGAACCACAGAGAATCCCCGGGAGAACCCAGAAATTCAAAGAAAAACATAATTTTTAATTTCGACAGCATTTCCCCCCTTCTATACATCGAAAAAGGAAAAACCCCAAGAGAACCCTGCAGAACCCAGCCACTGAGTGAGCTGAGAACCACAGAGAACCCCCGGAAGAACCCATAAATTCAAAGAAAAATATAATTTTCAAATTCGACAATATACATCGAAGAAAGAGAACCCCCAAGAGAACCCTGCAGAACCCAGCCACTGAGTGCACTGAGAACCACAGAGAACCCCCGGGAGAACCCAGAAATTCGAAGAAAAACTTAATTTTTAAATTCGACAGCATTTCCCCTTTCTATACATGGGAAAAGAGAACCCCCAAGAGAACCCTGCAGAACCCAGCCACTGAGTGCACTGAGAACCACAGAGAACCCCCAGGATAATCCAGAAATTCAAAGAAAAACCTATTTTTGAAATTCGACAGCATTTCCCCCTTCTATACATCGAAAAGAGAGAACCCCCAAGAGAACCCTGCAGAACCCAGCCACTGAGTGCACTGAGAACCACAGAGAACCCTTGGGAGAACCCAGAAATTCGAAGAAAAACATAATTTCCAAATTCGACAGCATTTCCCCCTTCTCTACATGAAATAAAGAAAACCCCCGAAAGAACCCTGCAGAACCCAGCCACTAAGTGCACTGAGAACCACAGAGAACCCCTGGAAGAACCCAGATATTCAAAGGAACACATAATTTTCAATTTCGAAATATTTCCACAAGTCTATACATCGAAAAAGAACCCCCAAGAGAACCCTGCAGAACCCAGCCACTAAGTGGACTGAGAACCACAGAGAACCACTGGGGGAACCAAGAAATCCCACTAGCCCTCTAGGCGTCGGTGGTTTAGAAGGTTTCCTCTTCCACCCCTCCTTCCCCTGCGGGGAGGGGTTTACCCCTCCCCCTACCCCCTCCCCACTGACATGGACAGGGGGGGCCGCGTCGCGTTAAAGCGTCCAAGATCGACCCCTGGGAGGGCTAAAATTCGACACCCCTCACGAGGATCATGGCCCCTGAGGGGGGAACCCTAATTGAGGGACCCCCCTTCGTTGACCAATCTCCTCCAAGATGGCTCCAAGAGACGTCTTGGAGCCCCTCTTGGGCCCTGCGCGAAGGCTGGCGGAGCGCCGCCCGCTCGCCCGCAAGGCCCAAGAGCCAACCAAAACGTTCGAAGATACCTCCAAGACCCACCAGGGAGGAGGAAGAGGCGGAGGAGGAGGAGGAGGAGGAGGAGGAGGAGGAGAAGGAGAGGGAGGAGGAGGAGAGGAGGACGAGAAGGCGGAGGAGAAGGAGGAAGAAGGGGAGGAGAACAGCTGCCGATCATCGGCGCTCTTCGTTCGAATGCCTGGTGTAGGATGGGCTGGTGGGGATTCGCGAAGCGTCAACAATTCGCTAATCGACGTGTCAGGGTAGGAGGTCTGTCCACCCCCGACGCTGCTTCTTCTTCATAAGAGGCAGGGCTGCGCGCTCCAGGCGGTCGCTGCTCCCCGCAGCGGCGGCAGCAGGTGGGGGGACGGCGGCGAGGCGCCGTGGCTGGCGCACCACCCCCCTGGCAGGCCGACCGCCGTCGGCGAGCCCCCGGGGGGGAAAGCGAGAAGGGGCGGGCCCTCTCAGAGATCGGGTGTTGCTAGAAGTGCCCCTGGCCCAAGGTAACCCCCTAGGATTCTCGGGGTGGCCCGAACGGCCTCCAGGGCACCCCTCACGAGGCCCAGAGGGCCCCAGGGGCTCCAGAATGGAGCGGAAAACTGGGGGTGCCTTGGGCCAGGGGCACTTCGAGCAACACCCGAAGAGAAGACAGGCGCGCTCCACTGCGCGCATGGCAGCTGCTCGCACGTGGCCTGGAGCCGCCGCGGGGGGGGGGGGGGACTCTACGAGCCGCTGCCACGACGATGCGAGCACGTGTGCGTCTCGGGTGCCTGCGAGCGGGCCCTCTGCGAGTGGTGGAGCGCGCTGGGCGACGCAGAGCTCGGAGAGCCTCGGGCCTCCTGGCAGATTATCGAGCAAAAACTCTCCCCGCAGGCACGGAACACTCAGCAGAAGGTCAGGGGGCTCCTGAGAAGCCACGCGCCTCCGCAGAAGGCCTGCCCCCTGGTTCGCTTCCCCCCTTGGGAGCGCCGCCGACGCCAACAGAAAAACACGCATACCGCATGCCGCAGGGGCCACGCAAACTGCGCGAACGAGGCATCTGGCCAGGATGCCGACCTCGCGGCAAAACGAGGCACCAAACTGGGAAGACAAAGGCACACGTGCCTATGCTGATGCCTGGTCTGGTACATGAGTCTGGTACCGCTAGTCTGGTACATGAGTCTGGTACCGCTAGTCTGGTAAATTTGTCTGGCACATTAGGCTGGTACATTAGTCTGGCACATTAGTCTGGTACATTAGTCTGGTACATTAGTCTGGTACATTAGTCTGGTACATCAGTGTGGTGCATTAGCCTGGTACATCAGTCTGGTACATTAGCTTGGTACATCAGTCCGGTACATTAGTCTGGTACCACGCTTACGGTTAAGAACCCACTGCTTACGGTTAAGACCTCCTCTTCCTCGAAAGTGGCGACAGTTTCGCAGATCGCAGCACCCCAGGGACGGCGAGGTCTCGCTCAGGTCCGCGCGGTGCCTCACTCCGCTGGACCCACCAGCAGCCCTCGAAAGTGGCGACAGTTTCGCAGATCGCAGCATCCCAGGGACAGCGAGGTCTCGCTCAGGTCCGCGCGGTGCCTCACTCCGCTGCACCCCCCAGCAGCCCTCGAAAGTGGCGACAATTTCGCAGATCGCAGCCCCCCTGGAACGGCGAGGTCTCGCTCAGGTCCGCGCGGTGCCTCACTCCGCTGGACCCACCAGCAGCCCTCGAAAGTGGCGACAGTTTCGCAGATCGCAGCACCCCAGGGACGGCGAGGTCTCGCTCAGGTCCGCGCGGTGCCTCACTCCGCAGAACCCACCAGCAGCCCTCGAAAGTGGCGACAGTTTCGCAGATCGCAGCCCCCATCGTCGGCGAAGAGAGGGCAGGAGGAGGCGGGAGGCGGGAGGAGGAGGAGGAGGAGGAGGAGGAGGAGGAGGAGGAGGAGGAGGAGGAGGGACGCGACCACAGTGCTCTATTCAAAACGAATACCCAACCAAGGAGGGTTGGGAAAAAGCGATTATACGTCATGTGTTTGAGCTGCTGTGTTTGTACAGTCGGGCCGCTGAAAGAAGGAACGTTAAATAAGAGACGAAGCCCCTTCTTGGCCCTGTGAGCGCCTCCGTGCCCCAGGAGGGCAAGAGGAACCACACTGGAGGAACCTAAGGAACATCGAGCCCCTTCCGAACCCAAACTGTTCCTTAGTTTAGCGTCTCGACTGTATATCGTGCGCGCACCAGGGCGCCCCTGCGGGGTCTGCAGGCCTCACCTGGGCCCAAGTCGCCACGGCGGTGCCCCACGAGCGGGCGAAGAACGGGCGCAATGCCCCAAGAGCGCGGATCAATGCGCGTCAGGCCTCAGGATCTGGCCCTTCAGGCCTCAGGATCTGGCCCTTGCGGGGCCGCGACGAGCCCGCCGAAGGGGACCGACCTGAGGTCCAGAGCTGAGATCCGGACCTGAAGTCCGGACCTGGGGCCCGGACTTGAGGTCCGGAGCGGAGGTCCGGACCTGAGGTCCAGACCTGAGGTCCAGAGCTGAGGTCCAGACCTGGGGCCCGGACCTGAGATCCGGAGTTGAGGTCCAGACCTGGACTTCAGACTCCCATTCCAGAAAGCAGACCTCGACCCCCATGCCTCTCCTGTAACGCACTGCGCGCCAACCTTTCGATCATCCGAACCGGACCGCCCGAAACTGAACCGTCCCGAAGCAAAACCGAACTGGCTCAAACCGAACTATATAGCGCCGAACCCGAACATGCTACAACCGAAGCGGCCAGCTGCCGAATCGACCCGAACCGGCCCCATGCTGCGAAAGTGAGAGACGCAAGCGAAAGCGGAAAGCGAAAGCGGGAGGCGAAAGCGAAAGCGGGAGGCGAAATTGGGAGGCGAAAGCGAAAGCGGGAGGCGAAAGCGGGAGGCGAAAGCGAAAGCGGAAGGCGACAGTGGGAGGCGAAAGCGGGAGGGGAAAGCGAAAGTGGGAGGCGAAAGTGGGAGGCGAAAACGACAGCGGGAGGCGAAAGGAGGCGAAAGTGGGAGGCGAAAGCGAAAGCGGGAGGCGAAGGAAGGCGAAAGTGGGGGACGAAAGCGAAAGCGGGAGGCGAAAGCGAAAGCGGTAGGCGAAAGTGGAAGTCGAAAGCGGATCGCCTCCCATTTTCGCTTCTGCTACTTGTCGTGAATTTGTCTCGATCTTGTCGTGTCTGGGTGCTTCCTGGTCGTGTTTGGGTCCTCCTTGTCGCGTTTGGGTCCTCCCCTTCCCGCGCGCCCTCCCGTTTCTCACCCGCGCCCTGTGCGGCTCGCCCCTGGCTCAGAGGGTCAAGACATAGCATCTGTCGCCCAAGGCGGATTTCAGGGCCTGCGCGCCGTCGTCGCCGATGCCGTTGCTGTCCAGGCGCAGCACCTGCAGGCCGCGCATGGAGGGCAGCGCCTTCGCCAGGGCCTGCGCGCCGTCGTCGCCGATGCCGTTGTTGCCCAGGCCCAGCACCTGCAGGCCGGGCATGGAGGGCAGCGCCTTCGCCAGGGCCTGCGCGCCGTCGTCGCCGATGCCGTTGCTGGCCAGCCACAGGTCCCGCAGGCCGGGCATGGAGGGCAGCGTCTTCGCCAGGGCCTGCGCGCCGTCGTCGCCGATGCCGTTGCTGGCCAGGCGCAGGTGCTGCAGGCCGGGCATGGAGGGCAGCGCCTTCGCCAGGGCCTGCGCGCCGTCGTCGCCGATGCCGTTGCTGGCCAGGTGCAGGTGCTGCAGGCGGGGCATGGAGGGCAGCGCCTTCGCCAGGGCCTGCGCGCCGTCGTCGCCGATGCCGCCGATGCCGTTGGTGTCCAGGCGCAGCACCTGCAGGCCGGGCATGGAGGGCAGCGCCTTCGCCAGGGCCTGCGCGCCCGGGGGGCCGATGTTGCAATTGTTCAGGTCCAGTCTCTCCAGGCGGGCGCACAGCCGCAGGCAGCCTGCGAGCCCCGCGACCTGCGCGGCGGTCGGGGGCGGCATCCCGTCGAAGTCCAGAATCGTCACGCCGCCCAGCTGCGCGCGGCTCATCCGCCGGAAGAGCGCCTTCACCGCCTCCCGGTCCGCGCCGTTGGTGAAGGACCTGTCCTTGATGAGCCGGTCGAACTCGTCCGGGCCCACCGGCCACCTCCTCCCGGCCTTCGTCACCCCCGCCCCTCCCCCAAGGTCGGCCACGGCGTCCCACTTCGCCTGATTACGGTAGACCTTCTTGATCTGCTCCGCGGAGCAACGCTCGTACGTTGTCCAGTCCGACTGGTCGTAGCCACACTCGCGCTCGCTGCCTCGCTCGCGGGGGTGCTGGGTGAGCAGGAGGACGGTAGTGGCTTGGTGGGCGTACCACAGGTCCATCGTCTCCTGCAGCCCATGTTTGAACGCGGCCTTCTCGGCGGGGGTACGCTTGGCCTCGTCCGCGGCCTTCTGCGCGTCCTTCTGGGTTTTTCCTTGCCGCAGGGCGGCGGCCTTCGCCTCATCGGCCTTGTCGGGGTCGCCCTGCAGCAGCGAGGGCCAGTCCCAGAAGACGCCCATGTCGCTGAACCCTTCAAAGTTATCCTTTCCTCTGGAGTACTTGTGGCGTTCCTGCTCCAGGGTGTCTATCACCAAGCTCAGCTGCACCCCATTGGGGTCGGGATGCTCGCGTGAGTCCCAGCAGAACGAGATGGTGATGATCGGCGCCACCTTGTCAATTCCTCCTCGCCCGCTGGCTTCCCAAATGGCCCGCAGCTCGCCGGCGGACACGAACGCCTCCTCTGGCAGCTCCTGGCGCCTCTGCAGGACCGTGCCCCGCTGCTGCAAAAGCCACGACATGCGGACCAAGCGCACTGGGTGAAGGCCCTCCACGGTGAACGCAAGAGCGTCGAAGAGGCTCGTGGCGTCTGTGTACCGCGTCAGGTCGAAAGACTGGCGGGAGGCCATGTCAAAAGACTGGCGGGAGGCCATGCAGCACCCCATCGTGTCGGCGCGGGGGGCTGGCTTGCAGAGGCAGGAGGGCGCTCGCGCCTGCTTCCAGACCTGCGTCCACCCGTGGAAGCTTGAGCCCAAGCGCTCACGAGGATCGTGGCCCGTGGGGAGCTCCACCGAGGGTGGCCAGTTGCAGGGTTCCCATGGCGGCCCCACTCCATTTTGGCGCACCTCTCACGGGCATCGTGGCCCCATAGGGGAGCCCCACCGAGGGCGCCAGTGGTAGAGTTCGTATGACGACCCCGCCCCATTCTGGCACACCCCTCACACGGTTCGTGGCCTCATAGCCTCATAGGGAGCTCCACAGAAGGCGCCAGTGGCAGGGTTCGCATGGCGGCCCCGCCCCATTTCGGCACACCCCTCACACGGGTCGTGGCCTCATAGGGAGCTCCACCGAGGGCCTCATAGAGCGATGGACCCAGAATGCGGTCGCCGCAACTGCTTATGGTTGGGTCCTTCGTCAGGCTATTTTTTCATAAGTTTTCTAGGTTGATGGAGGCGGGCATTGACTCCTCCTCCTCCTGCTCCTCCTCCTCCTCCTCCTCCTCCTCCTCCTCCTCCTCCTCCTCCTCCCCCTCCCCCTCCACCTCCTCCTCCTCCCCTCTCACCTTGAAGGCACGCTGAAGGCAAGCTGAAAGTACGCTGAAGGTATGCTGAAAGTACGCTTTGCTCACACCTTGAAGGTACGCTGCAGGTGCGCTGTAGGTACGCGCTTATACAAGGACAACAACAAGAACACATTATTGTAGGTACGCTGTGGGTACGCTGTAGGTACGCGGAAAGTAAGCTTTATTCACACCTTGAAGGTGCGCTGTAGGTACGCTGTAGGTTCGCGGTAATGAAGGGAGCACTAAGACAACACTACTCTAGGTACGCTGAAGGTACGCTGTAGGTACGCTAGGCACGCTGGACCCACACCTTGAACGCATGCTGTAGGTACGCTGCAGGCGCGCTTATACAGGAATGAAATAAAACAGTAAGACAACAGTAGTGTAGGTGCGCTGTAGGTACGCTGAATGTACGCTGCAGGTACGCGTTTATAAATAACCCCCTTGCTAGGTATAGATGAGCGCCAACGCTGCTGATGGCCCCTCCCTTGTGGCGGCGGCTGTGCAGGCGGCGATCCGGAAGGGCGCCCCGAGGCGCACTGTTGCTGCTGTGGCTGCGGCGGTTGCCGGCACTGTGATGTCTGCGACTGCTCGGCCCTCCGTGCCAGCGACTATGCACAAGGAGCGCGCTCAGGATGCACAGGGCGAAGCTGAAGACTCCGACGATCCTGTACAATTGTTGGAGAAACTTCGTGCTGTACGCCGTGCCCAACGACTCCGCAAGAAGGAGAAGCGCAGGACAGCCAAGCAGGTGGCTCAAGATGGTCCAGCCTCTTCTATTCTTCCTGATGGCCTTCAGCCTGTCGCTGAAGCCATTCCACCTCCAGCAGGTGCAGCCGGCCCAAGCGCAGACCTCGGGGGAAGTCATGCTGCAGAGCCCGCTCCGGCACTTGTTCTACGTTCAGGCGCTGATTCACCCTCGCAGTCTGAAGGTACCTCAATTCCCGGCACCCGCTCCCCGAGTCTATTGCTGGGAGTGCAATCGGCGCCAGTTCTTGCCACACACTGGGGCGAGAACCATCAGGGCCACCTGCACGTGCCAAAGATCCTGCACGATCTAGTGTACACCAACAGGGAGCTTCGTCAGGGAAGCCTTCCTTTGGACGTGTTGAGGGCGATGCTGGACCCAAATCTGGCCGGCCTCAGCCTTACCCGGGACGGAAGAAGTAGCCTGCCCCTCTTCCGTTCATGCGGCAGTCCCGACATTGCCGTTTCCATATGTGCTCAGGTATTCCAGTTGGGTGGCTGCATACTTCGAGCAACTCTGCTACGTGTACTTCAAGTTCCTGAGGCAGAGCAACTTCTGAGGGGTGCCCTTTCTTACCTCTTCGGCCACGTTCCAACGTGAGCCCATCTTAGGCCGCGATTGCTGCACCAGGCCTCTAAGCAGCCTGACTCGTTTGTTTTTTCTTGTGGCTGGGCAGCCCCCAGTCTTTTCCATTTCACGCGTGTATAAATATTATCCTGCGACGTACCCAACCCTTTCTGCACTAGTGGCAATTGCACTGAGGACCACTCAATACCGCAGGACATTTCGGCGTCATGGTCTAGTGGTGGTCTGCGTAGGACGTACCTCCGCTAAGCCTCCCAAGAGCCCATGCGCGCCAGGTGAGCCAAGCGCGCCAGGCGCGCCAGGTGCGCCAAGTGCGCCAGGTGCGCCAGGTGCGCCAGGTGCGCCAGGTGCGCCAGGTGCGCCACGTGCGCCACGTCCGCCAGGCGCGCCAGGCGCGCCAGGTGCGCCAGATGCGCCAGGCGCGCCATGTGCGCCAAGTGTGCGCCAGGTGTGCGCCAGGTGTGCGCCCGGTGTGCCAGGTGCGCCAGGTGCGCCCAGCGCGACAGGTGTGCCAGGTGCGCCAGCTGCGCCAGGTACGCCAGGTGCGCCAGGCGCGCCAGGCGCGCCAGGTGCGCCAGGTGCGCCAGTGGCGCCAGGCGCGCCAGGTGCGCCAGGTGCGCCAGGTGCGCCAGGCGCGCCAGGCGCGCCAGGTGCGCCAGGTGCGCCAGGAGCGCCAAGTGAGCTAGGTGCGTGCCAGGTGTGCGCCAGGTGTGCGCCAGGTGCGCCTAGCGCGCCAGGTGCGCCAGGTGCGCCAGGTGCGCCAGGTGTGCCGGGTGCGCCAGGTGCGCCAGATGCGCAAGGTGCGCCAGGTGCGCCAGGTGTGCGCCAGGTGCGCGCCAGGCGCGCCACGTCCGCCAGGCGCGCCAGGCGCGCCAGGCGCGCCAGTTGCGCCATTCGCGCCAGGC